AACACTACACTCCCTTCCATATTTAAACACTCCACTAATTCCATAGTGAAAAATACACTACTTTTCCATAGTGAACACTACACTACATTCCATGGGGGGGGAACCTACACACATTCCTTTAGGGGAAAAACTACACACATTCCATAGTGAAAACTGCACTAAAATTCCCCCAGTGAACACTGCACTCCCATTCCATAGTGAACCTACACTTTTTTCCCAATTAGTAAAACACACCACTACATTCCATAGTGAACAATCATTTACTTCCCCATAGTGAACCTAAAACAAACTTTCCTTAGGAAAAATACCTACTTTCCCATAGTGAACACTACCCCTACTTTCCATAGTGAACACTACATACATTCCTAGGGGAAACACACCTACTTTCCCTTAGTGAACACTACCCCTAATTCCATATGAACCCCTTACACTACATTCCATATGAACACAAACACTACTTCCCCATAGGAAAATTTTCCCATTTACATTCCTTTAGTGAACATGCACTACATTCCATGGGGAAACCCCACTACACTACATCCTTAGTGAACATACACACATTCCATAGTAAACCCTACATTTACTTTTCCTTTAGTGAACTACACTACATTCCATAGGAACACAAACCATACATTCCATGGGTGAACACTAAAACAAACTTTTCCATAGGAACACTGCACAAACATTCCACGGGGAACACTCCCCTTTTACATTCCTTAGTGAACATTTCACTAAAATCCATGTGAAAACTGCACTACTTTTCCATAGTAAACAGCCTACTTTCCATATGAAAAACTGCACAAATTTCCATAGTGAACACTGAAATTCACCCCATAGGAACATGCACTCCCATTCCTAGTAAAACACTACACTACATTCCAAGTGAACACTCCCACTACTTTCCCAAAAGTGAACACTGCACTACTTTTCCATATAACACTACCTACTTTCCATATTTGAACACTACCCCTCATTCCATATAAAACACTACACTACATTCCATAGTGAACACTCCCCATTTCTTTCCATAGTAAACCCCTTTAAACTACTTTCCCCTAGTGAACACTGCACAAATTTTTCCATAGTGAACACTACACACTTCCATATTTGAACACTACACTTAACATTCCTTAGTGAACACACCCCAAATTTAGGAAAAAATGCGTACTTCCATAGTGAACATTTCATACATTCCATAGTGAACACTAAAATACTTTCCCCTTATGAACACTACACACTTTTTCCCATAGTAAAACACTAAAACTACTTTCCCATATTTTTGAACACTACACTAAAACCATAGTAAAACATTTGCACTACTTTCCCATGGGTAAACCCTGCACTACTTTCCCATAGTGAACACTACACCTCATTCCATAGTGAAAAATGCACTACATTCCATAGTAAACCCACAAACACACATTCCATAGGGGGAAAACACTGCACTACATTCCTAGTGAACACTACACTCCCTTCCCATAGTAAAACACTCACTACTTTTCCATAGTAAACCCCTTTAAACCTCATTCCATAGTGAACACTGAAACTACATTCCAAAATGAACACTACACCTCATTCCATAGTGAAAAATGCACTACATTCCATAGTGAACACGACACCTCATTCCTAGTAAACCACTGCCTAAAATTCCCATAGTAAAACACTACACAATATTCCATGGGCCCCCACTACAAACATCTCAGTGAACACTGCACTACTTTCCAAGTTAACCTACTTTAACATTAATATTTAACACTACACTACATTCCAAATGAACACTACACTACATTCCATAGGGGACCTACACTACTTTCCATAGTAAACCACAACACAAAATTCCATGGGTGAACACTACACAAACAATTCCCATGGGAAAACCACTACACTACTTCCCATATAAACACGGAAACTACATTACAAAGGAACACAACACTACTTTTCCATAAAAAAACCCACTCATCCATTCCATAGTGAAAACGGGACTCCCTTCCATATAAACACTACACCATTCCATATTTAACACGAAACTACATTCCATAGTGAACACTACATACTTTCCATAGTAAACCACAAACACTACTTTCCCATAGTGAACAAAACACTAAAATTCCATAGTGAACCCTACACAATTCCATAGTGAACACTGCACAAACATTCCTTAGTTAACACTGCACTCCCTTTCCCAATATTTAAACCACTACACTACTTTTCCATAGGGGAAACACTACACTACATTCCATAGGAAAAACACACTAAATTCCATAGTGAACACTCCCACTACTTTCCATAGTGAACACTACATTAATTCCATATTAAAACCCCACACAAACATTCCTTATGACCACTGCACTACTTTCCCCATATTTTAACACTACACTACATTCCATAGTTAACACTACACTACATTCCATGTAAAACCCCAACCCTACTTTTCCATAGTAAACATCACTACTTTTCCATAGGGGAACCCCACACTACTTTCCATATTGAACATCCCACTAATTCCAATAGTGAACACTACAACATTTAATAGTGAACACTACAAAAATTTTCCATAGTGAACCTACCTACATTCCATAGGGAACAAAACACTACTTTAAATAGTTTACACTACACTACATTCCAAGTGACCACGGCACACTTTTCCAATTTAACACTGTTTTTACATTCCAAAGTTAAAAATAAAATACATTCCATAAAAAACATACCTACTTTCCCTTTAGTAAAAACACACATTTCCCTTTCCTAGTAAAAAAACTACACTACATTCCATAGGGAACACAAACACTACTTCCATAGTGAAACTACACTACTTTTTTTCCATAGAAAAACCTACCTAACATTCCATATAAAACACTACACAACATTCCTTAGTGAACACACACTCCCTTTCCAAATAGTTAAACTACACTACATTCCAAAGTGAACACTCCCACAAATTTCCCAAATAGTGAACACTACAAAAATTCCATGGGTGAACACTGCCTAAAATCTTAGGAACAGTGCCTATTTTCCATATAAAACACGACTACTTCCATATGAAATACATTTACATTCCAATTTAAAAACACTACACTACATTCCTTTGTGAAAACACACCATTCCAAAAGTGAACACTACCCAACTTTTCCATAGTGAACACTACACTCCCTTCCATAGTGAACACTACACTACTTTCCATATTTAAACACTACACTACTTTCCATAGGGGGACCACTGCACTACTTTTCCTATTTTAACACTGAACCCATTCCAAGTTAACACTACAACTCCCTTCCATGTGAACACTACACTACTTTCCATATGAACACTACAACATTCCATAGTAAAACACACACTACATTCCATAGGGAACACTACACTACTTTCCATATAAAACACTACACAAATTTCCCCATAGTGAACACTACACTACATTCCATAGTGAAACACTACACTACTTTCCCCATAGTAAAACACTACACAAACTTTCCATATTAAAAATACACTACATTCCATGGGAACACTACACAACATTCCTTTAGTGAACATCCCTCCTTTCCATAGTAAACACTCCCTACATTTTAAGGAACAGTCCCTTATTTTCCATAGTGAAAACTGCACTACTTTCCATAGGGAACACTACATACATTAAATATGAACCTAAAACTACATTTTAATAAACCCCTGCACTATTTTTCCAAATAGTGAACACTACAACTTTCCTTAGTGAACACTGCACTACTTTTCCTTAGTGAACCCTAACTTTTTTCTTTTTGGGAACACTCCCCACAAACATTCCTTGTGAACTTCATACATTCCTTGTAAACATTGAACACATTCCTTATTGAACATTGTTCGGGAGGTTGCCCTGTTTTCGTGCATGCTGACGGAGGATCACCCCTTCACTTGCCTCGTGACGCACAGGGGTTTAATTTTTAAAATTACATTTCAGGGAGTGCAAAAACCCAAAGGGAGGACCCCCCCAAACCCCATGGGTATTTGGGGGGGGGAAAGGGAAATCGTTTGCCCCCTAGGAAGAGAAGAGTAGCTCTATTTCCTTGTATCGAGAGCCCTTACCTACCATAAATAGGCCCTCTCCTTATGGGGAACAGATTTTTTTACTTAACTTTATTTAAAACACCAAAAGGGAAACACAACACAACTCAGAAAAACCCGGGGGATTTTAAAATATTTCTTCACCCAGGTTGTCAGGAAGGGGAAAAAACTTGAGAGTAAATTTTTGGGGGTGGGATCCATACATAGCTTTAAGTAAGGCTTTGAAAAAATTCATGGGCAGAGAGAGAGTGGACACTTACCCTCCCCACTCTTTTTAGCCCAAAAACAGAAATATTAATCTCATCTTAAAAAAAATGAATCCTTTTTAAACCCCAATACTGAAACTATATACTGGGGCCAAAACAAAAGCATTCACTTGCTAAACTCAAAAAACTATATTTCCCCCACTTACCATAATCCCCAATTTTAACCTCATAATTTGTAATATTTTACAATTAAGAATAAAACTAAGTATGCCCGAAATGCCTAGCCATGCTAAGCGTTCTAGTGGTACACTCTGTAATCACAATTTTACTACATGTAAACCACACAATAACCAAATTTCTGTAAACTCAGCATTGTAATCCTTATAGAGAATAAACTTTGAATTGAATTGAATTGAATAGTAGCGACCAGTGAAGAGGCGGGGGCCAGGGACTGAGTCTCGACTCCTGAAAGCACAAACAGGTGAATACATTCACATACTGCGTATGTGTTTATATTTCCAGTACATTCACTCACTAACTCTCACTCTACCTACCTACCTTTAATTAATCTTCCTCCCTCTCGTCCTTGTAAACTCCACCACTGGAATTGTCCCGTAATTAAGTCAATTAACCATAGCTCCAAAACTGATTCATTAACGTTTTCAAGTTTTCCTCCTGAGAACATCACAATAGGATGGTGAGCAGCGCTGATTGCCTCCTGGGATAAATAAATTATATTTCCTTATCTCTCCTCAGCCAGCGAATGGAAGGCCAGTGCATCTCTGCTGCCCCTTGTAGCAGTCCTGCTGCTGCTGCTGCTGCTGTAGGTGGCAGTTCTGCTGTTGCTGCTGTACGTGGTAGTCCTGCTGCTGCTGCTGCTGCTGCTGCTGCTGCTGCTGCTCTTGTAGGTTTCAGCCCTGCCGCTGCTGTAGGTGGCAGTTCCACTATGCTCAGGTGTGGCAGCAGTGATGCTGTTGTCTCATTACCTGTGCAGTCCCCTCACTCTGTGGTAGCTGGCACTGATATCCTCCTTAAATGCGGTAGCTGGCACTGATGTTCTCAAACTGCGGTAGCTGGCACTGATGTTCTCAAACTGCGGTAGCTGGCACTAATGTTCTCAAACTGCGGTACCTGGCATTAATGTTCTCAAACTGCGGAACCTGGCACTGATGTTCTCATACTACGGTACCTGGCAATATCATTAAACTAGGGGTAGCCGGCACTAATATCCTCCTTAAATGCAGTACCTGGCACTGATGTTCTCAAACTGCGGTACCTGGCACTGATATTAAACTAGGGGTAACCGGCACTAATATCCTCCTTAAATGCGGTAGCTGGCACTGATATTCTCAAACTGCAGTACCTGGCACTGATATTAAAGTAGGGGTTGCTGGCACTGATATCCTCCTTAAATGCTGTATCTGGCACTGATATTCTCAAACTACAGTACCTGGCACTGATATCATCAAACTAGGGGTAGATGGCACTGATATCATTAAACTAGGGTAGCTAGCATTGATATCCTCGTAAACTTGGGTAGCTGGCACTGATATCCTCAGACTACGGTAGCTGGTACTGATCTCAAAGTGCCATATATAACAAGCGGTGCCATCTTACTGCTCTATGCTACAACGCTACAACAATGCTACCATTCTATGTGTCGTTGTATGTGCTACATAATTCGTGGTAGGGGAACATACAGCAGAAGTAGATTCACTGCAAGGGAGGGCGCTCCAGTTCCTTGGATAAAGAGTCCCTCACCGACTTCAAAACACCTCCGATGAGGGGGTATGTATAGTACACTTTATACTATTTAGGTGAGCGCTAAACCTGTATGTGGTCGTACAGTACGTGGTGGAGTGGGAACACAATGCGCATCTAGCATAGGCCTACTGGCCCATGCTAGGCTCACACTTGTGTACCCGTCCAGCTTGTATTGAAAACAAAGCACTACACGACTCACGAAATCGTAATGACACGATTGCAAACAAACCATACCACGGGTGGGGATAGAACCCGCGATCAGAGAGTCTCAAAACTCCAGACCGTCGCGTTAGTCACTGGACCAGTGGCTAACGTCTGGGTATCTTTATTGTAGACGTTTCGCCATCCATTGGCTTTATCAATACGAATTCAAGGACATAATTGGAGGACAGTAGAAATATTTACAAAAGGTGAGGTAATCAGTCCCTCAGTCTTGGAGTTGGTGATGACTACAGTAGTCGTGAAGAGTCTGATGCATTTATCATTGTATTTGTTTTGATAAAGTCACTGGATGGCGAAACGTCTACAATAAGATTCCCAAATGTTGCACATGTGTCTTCATCTTGTCGGTACTGGGCTATTGAACATCCCCCAGTGAAAAGCAGGGGTGTCACTAGCACGTTAAGAGACAACACAATAAGTGTCCGGGGCCCAAGATTGTTCAACTGCCTCCCAGCATACATAAGAGGGATTACCAATAGACCCCTGGCTGTCTTCAAGAAGGCACTGGACAAGCACCTAAAGTCACTACCCGATCATCCGGGCTGCTGTTCGTACGTCAGTTTGCGTGCTGCCAACAGCAACAGGCCCTGATCCACCATGAGGCCTGGCCACAGACCGGGCCGTGCGGGCGTTGACCCCCCGAAACCCTCTCCAGGTATACTCCAGGTATACTGTACACCATACATGTACAAGACGAAGTCCTTGCCACAGTGACGCTCCCTGAGAGTTTGTTCGACTCATTTACAACTCTGTTGTCAAACCAATACTTCCCTATGTTCTTTCAAAATCTAAATTTCTTGAACTTGAATCAATTGCTCCTAGTCTTGTCTTGGTAAAATATTTTAACACGATATGTATACCTCATTCAGTCCTGTTTTCCATTTGTACACTTCATTCATATTTCTCCTAATTTTACGACTTTCCAAATGTGCAAGTTCAGTGCCTTAGTCTGTTTTCGTAGCAAAGGTTTTACATACATGGAATCTCCGTCGTCATGATTCTCTGTATATCTTCGAGTGCATTTGTGTACATCCTGTAATATGGAGACCACAAATGAGCAATATATTCTAAATGAGATTTAACCATGAGACCCCTGGCTGTCTTCCAGGCGCTGGACAGGCACCTTGAAGACAGCCAGGGGTCAGTACCTGATCAGCCGTGCTGTGGTTCGTACAGCGGTTTACGTGCGGCCAGCAGTAACAGCCTGTTTGATCAGACCCTGATTCACTGCGAGGCCTAGTCATGGACCAGACCCCGGGGGCGCTGACCCCTGAAACTCTCTCCAGATATTTAGGCTTCTTGATATGAAGCCAAGAATTCTATTAACTTTATTACAAACACTCAAACACTCTTGTCTTGGCTTCAAACTTCTGTTAATCAGAACTCCTAGATTTTTCTCGCATTCCCTTTGACTAAGATGTACATTTTTAGCTTATACGTGAATTAGTGCAACGTTTAGGTATCTTTATTGTGGAGGAAACGTTTTGTAAGCCAGTGGCTTCATCAGTCCAATACAGAGAAGAATGGAGGACAAGGAGTAGTTTGAGGTAATCAGTCCCTCAGCCTGGAGATGTGTTCATTCCATTATTCTTGATAAAAGTAAAGCATGTGTCCGGAGAAGAAGTTTATATACTGCAGACAGGTGAGGTGAAGCAGTTGTAGGCGGAATCACCAGTGGAAAAATCCACTAGTGGAAAAAGGTCGGTAAGGCAAGTGAAGAATTCCCTGTATCAAGATCCCAAGATGTTGCTCTGCTTGACAGATATTGTAAAAATGATTTAGAAAACCGACAAGTTGACGAGTGAAACAATTATATATTTAGGTATCTTTGTGTAACACAAATACTGCATAAATGTCTCATTCGTCAACTTGTCGGTTTAATAAGTTATTTAAACAACAGCTTGTAAGTGCCATAGTTATTTCTTTTTCCCAGGATGAAAAACCTTACACTTGTCCTCAACAAACTGCATCTGACACTTTTCAGACCACACCGTCAACCTATCCAGGTCATCCTGTAGCCCTTTAGCATCCATATCAGACATTATCCGACAGCTTATTTTAGTGTTACCGGCAAACTTTATATCACTTTTCGTTCCCTCATCAATATTGTTTATACAGATTATGAACAACAAGGGTCCCAGCACTGTCACCTGTGGCACACCACTAGTAACAGGTCCCCAATCTGATTTCTCCTCGTTAATTAGTCACCATGCCTCGACCCCAGGAGATATTTTCTCCTGTTCTATATGCCTCTACATTCTTAGTCACCTATGTGGTACTTTATCTAAAGTCTTACTGAGGTCCAGATACACCTCTGTCGCTTCGAATCCACTTCCTAATGCAGAGTTTATGCTGTTAAGTTTCATTTCTAGGACCCTCTTCCCTCCAAGACTGGATTTATTCAAGTGGGGAGCACCACTGCCTCCTGGGCACCTACTGGCTCATTTTAACTTAGTGGCTTGTCATACCTTAGTGGCTCATCATACTTTAGGGTTGCATTATATAGTAGTGGTTCATCATACCATTGTCTCCCATACCATCGTCCACACACATTCAAGTAGCTTAGTAATTATTTGATTCAAACGTCATAGGATTTACATTGTTTTTAATTAAACATTTTAGATTACTTCTTTGTGGAACTCCCTAATGTGTGAGAGCCCCCCTGACCAATTATCCCTGTTGCCCTCTCTTTAAATCCGGTCCTACCTTCTTCAAACTAAGCTCTCATAGGCGTGTATTGCACACAAAGAAGTGAAAACGTCAGAAATAACGTTTTCACTTCCAATACTACCTTACCTTACGACTGTCATGGCATACTAACACCAAATATCTTTGTCCTGTTATCAGAATGGGTAGTCGTCATTTCTGATATCTTCACTTATTGATGCCTGCACTCTGGGTGTCCTGAAAGCGTTACCAGTAATGCAAAGTATGAATTCTTTGCTGAAACTGGATTCTAGCATCAACTGTGGCTTCTTTCTGTCTCCCATCTGCTCACCCTCCATACTTTACTACCCCAGCGTCAGCAAGTCTGTTTCATTCATCCCTCAATGACCCCATCTATTTTTAGAATTATTTTAATATAATTGAAATAAATAAAGAATCGCTTGGGTATGACCCAGCACTTAAATAAATTCTTGCCTACTGAAATATTACGGAAGTAAATAACTCAACATATAATACGCTGAAGGACTTAATTATTAACTACTGCAAGCGCTGTTGTACCTGACACTGTATACTGGAAGCTCTGAAGAGCTTGACCACCAAACCTGAAATTTATACGTAAATATTAACAGAAATTAATACCTAAATATTACCAAGGCTTCAAATAAGTCACTGAACATTTCCAGGCCTTAATGTTATTTAAATATTGCCTGATGTACGGTCTTCAATAAAATTAGGAAGACACACACACACACCCACACACACACACATAATATATATATATATATATATATATATATATTATATATATATATATATACATATATATACATATGAGATTGTAAGTTTTTATTTAATTGGTTTTAGGGAACAATTTTGATAGGTGTGTCTTGTTTATTTTCTAAAATTCAGTGATTGTACAGAGTTATTTTTAAAGCTAAGAATGTCTTTATCAGCTATGTACTGAAAGTTTAGAGTATATTTAATCTGTGTATTTAATGCTTAGCGTATCTTTAAAATGGAGATTAATAAAGTATAGTTTGTATAGTTTTTTCTTTCTATAATATCCTCTTCACCATACAGTCATTACTGTTTTTTTTTCTTCTTTTTTTACCCTATCTGCCCTGACTATACCCTGACTATACCCTGAATATACCCAGTGGCCTGGTGGCTAAAGCTCCCGCTTCACGCACGGAGGGTCCGGGTTCGATTCCCGGCGGGTGGAAACATTTCGACACGTTTCCTTACACCTGTTGTCCTGTTCACCTAGCAGCAAATAGGTACCTGGGTGTTAGTCGACTGGTGTGGGTCGCATCCTGGGGGACAAGATTAAGGACCCCAATGGAAATAAGTTAGACAGTCCTCGATGACGCACTGACTTTCTTGGGTTATCCTGAGTGGCTAACCCTCCGGGTTAAAAATCCGAACGAAATCTTATCTTATCTTAACTATTCACTCTACCCATCAACATTCACTATCCTCATTTACTCCCTCTGACTTTTTGACAGCAACGGATTTATTACGCATTATAATAATAAAAAAGAAGCGCTAAACCCACTAGGTTCATACAGCACTGCAGGGTAGGGAGTGATGCAGGATATGACTCACGAAATCGTAATGACACGTAGTATGGTTTGTTTGCAATCGAGTCATTACGATTTCGTGAGTCATGTTAACGGCTTTGAGGGGACTTGAGCTAGAGTTCGTCACGGCCATGCTAGCTGGAGATTCGTCTGTAAAAACTTGCATTTGTGGTCACAGTGGTGCCTGTGCTAACCTTCCTATGGTGTAGAAGTATACCTAGTTGGATGAATCTTATTGTGGCTAGCTGGTCCAGTGGCTAACGCGACGGTCTGGAGTTTTGAGACTCTCTGACCGCGGGTTAAAATCCCGCCCGTGGTATGGTTTGATGCGGGATCTAAGGATAAGTAAGGGTGGAGATGACAACAAAGTTAAGAGGGGTTGTGAGAAGTGCTAAAGGAAGGATTATCAAAGTTTGTGTGATGAATCAAAGAGGGAGTCTGTGTCAAAGGTGGGTCCGTCAGCGAGGGGGAGAAAATAAAGTATGGGGGGGTTAGAGCAGTGACGATGTCAGAGGAAAATTCTGTGTGCTCGTTGATAGACGGGACAGTCCAATAGAATATGGGAAATTGAAATTGGAACCAGACAGTTCTCACAAAGAGGAACAGGATGCCTCTCCATGAGATACCCATGAGTTAGACGAGTTTGTCTGATGTAAGATGTGAAGACGAGAGAGTGTCTCCCAATCTTGATATCGATGACAAGAAGAAGGCCGGAAACCCAAACTTGGTTGGATAAAATGTAGTTTGTTATGAGTCATATCAGACCAACATTGTTGCCAACGGTTACGAAGATGAGTAAAGATTACAGAAAAATAGTCAGAGAATGGAATACCTCTATAATAAACTGGTAGGTCATGTACTGCAGATCGCACAGCAGAGTCTGCCTGCTCATTGCCCTGAACATCAACATGACCAGGGACCCAACAGAAAACGATTTCATTATTTTTGCTAGTAATGCTGCACAACCAAACTTGTATACGAAGAACTAGAGGATGAGGTAAATCAAATTTTTTAATGGCTTGTAAAGCATTAAAGAAGTCTGAAGTAGGCAGTGATGCAATACGGATAATTACAATGAGAAGGGCATACAATTCAGCTGTAAAAATACTGACTCTGTTGGCCTGGTGGTTAATGCTCTCGCTTCACACAGCGAGGGCCTGGGTTCGATTCCCAGCCAGAGTAATAACATTGGGCGTGTTTCTTTCCACCTGTTGTCTATGTTCCTCATCAGTAAAATGGGTACCTGGATGTTAGTCGACTGGTGTGGGTCGCATCCTGGGACACTGACCTAATTTGCCCGAAATGTTCAGCATAACAAGGGGCTTTCTATATAGTAGTAGTATGTTATTGATGTCAGCTAGACCTGTATACCATGTACATGTACTTGTAGTAAATAAAGATATTATTAATAAATGACCTAGCGCTATGCTGTCCTGAAACACTGCTACAAACCCAATACCATTAGTTGAAAAAATCTTTAGATTACTAATTGAAATAAGTAGAGTATACAGTACAACACAATTAAGTCGTATCTAAAGCCACCGAAGTCAGCTAAAGTCAGTTCCTGATCAGCCGGGCTGTGGCTCGTACGTTGGTTTGCTTGCAGCCAGCAGCAACAGCCTGGTTGATCAGGCTCTGATCCACCAGGAGGCCTGGTCACAGACCGGGCCGCGGGGGCGTTGACCCCCGGAACTCTCTCCAGGTAAACTCTCTCCAGGTAACCGAATGGTTATCAAACATAATTACAAGAGCTAATGAGAAATGGATAATTTAAGAAATCAAATCTTGAAACATTGCTATGAAACAAGGTCTAAACAGTTGATGCATTATCTGTATACTGAACCGAAGAGAAAAAACAGCAAATACGCATCACAGAATATTTGAGGACCCCAGTAACAACTGCGTTGCCTTCAGTCCACCATCCAGGCCATCCACTTTGACCCACTGGGGCCACCTTATTATTATAATCAAAAAGAAGCACTAAGCAACAAAAGGGCTATACAGCGCTGCAGGGTAGGGAAGGAAGCGAGGGTATTGGGCGGCAGAAGGGAGGAGGGATGATCAGTAAGTCACAGAAAACAGCGGGACAGGGGATAGTACGGGGGTAGAGGGTAGCAAGAGACTGAAGTAGAAAAGGCTGAAGGTATCAGAGTTTGTGAAGTCAGTCAGTTGTTGTCAAAAAGTCAATGAGAGAGTCTGGATGAAAGGGGGGTCCATCAGCGAGAAGGGAAGGTAAAGAGAGAGCAGCAGAGCGAAGACGACGACGGAGGTAAATTCTGCGTGCTCGTTGATAAAGTGGGCAGTCCAACAGAATGTGGCTGACTGATAATGGAGCTAGGCAATTCTCACAGAGGAGCAGGGCGCCCTCCATGAGATTCAGAGTAAGCGAGTATGGCCAATGCAAAGACAGGAGAGAGTAGTCTCCCAACCTCGACACTGGTGATAAGAAGACGGCCAGTAACCTATACTCTGTTTAATAAATTGAAGTTTGTTGCCGAGCATAGTAGCCCAAAACGTTGTTGCCAAGGGGTGTGAAGGGGGGAAGATATTGGGTAGCAAAATAGTCCGTAAAGGGGAATACCTCTATATGAAACTGTAGGTCATGTACTGCTGACCCCCACAGTAGTGTCTGCCTGTTCATTGCCCTGTACGTCAACAGGGACCAGGGACCAACAAAAAAAAATACTTATGTTGGTAGAGATGCGGCATACCCAAAATTTGGGATACGGGGGACTAAGGGATGAGGTGTATCAATTTCTGTATAGCCTTTTAAAGCACTAAGGGAGTCTGAGACAACCACAAATGATGACACAGGCATAGATGCAATACGGATAAGTGCTGCAAGGATGGCATACAATTCAGCAGTAAAAATACAAGCCGAAGATAGTAAATGCCCTCGTACGACGCTGTCTGGAAACATTGCTGTGAATCCTATGCCGTCAGAAGACTTAGAGCCATCTGTGTACACAACAATGGCATGAGAATGAGAGTGAAAGTGGTCAAGAAAAAGAGCGGGAAGCGACCGTAGACAGTTGGGCTTTCGAGCAAGGGAGAGAGAAAGAACAGACTCGAACAGATGGAACTTCCCAGAGGGGTAGGGAAAAGTGACATGCTACATGAACATAGAAAGGTGGTAATTGAAGAGAAGACAAGAGCGAATGAAGGCGAAGAGAGAAGGGACGGAGCAAACAGGGGCGGTGAACAAATAATGTCTACTAAATCATTGACCATTCTATAAATGGAAGGATTGCGGAGATCATGAGAGCGTACATAGTAGTGAAGGCAATGGGCATCACGGCGATCGATAAGGATGGAACGTTCACTTCTGCATAGAGGCTCTCGACAAGGGAGAGCGAAAAGCACCAAGGCATAAACGTAATCCTTGGTGATGAATGGGGTAAAGGCTAGAGAGAGTAGCAGGAGATGCCGCTGAATAGATCTGGTCACCATAATCAAGTTTCGATAAAATGAGAGTGGAATGTAGGCGAAGGAGGGTTCGACGATCAGCTCCCCATGAAAGATGAGCAAGGGTTTTAAGAAGGTTCAGCCGGCTGTGACAAGTTGCCTTCAGAGAGGTAATGTGAGGTTTCCAGGATAACCTACGGTCAAAGAGGAGGCCCAGAAACTTGACTGTATCACGTTCAGGGATACGGGAGCCATAGAGGTACAAAGGATGATCGGAGATGACATCGTCTAGTGAAAGTAATTTGGTGGGTTTTAGTGCTGGAAAATTTAAACCCATGTGTGGTGGCCCAATTGGAAACACGGTCGACTGCATGCTGGAGAGAAACTGTAATGAGGTGACAGTCAGCGCCTGCACAGGCAATAGCAAAGTCATCAACATAGAGTGATGACCAAATATTTGATGGAAGACTAGAGGCCAAATCATTAATACCAAGGAGAAAAAGTGTTGTGCTCAGAACACATCCCTGGGGGACACCTTCAGCTTGGATAAAGTCCGGGGAGAGCATATTATTAACCCGAACACGGAAATGCCTGTCAGTTAAAAAGTTCTTAAGGAAGGATGGTAGATTGCCTCTAAGGCCTAAGGAGTGGGCTTGGGCTAAAATATTATACCTCCAAGTTGTGTCATATGCCTTCTCAATGTCAAAAAATATGGCAATAACCGAGTGGTTATTCGCAAAGGCATTACGAACATACGTATCCAAGC